TGATGTGTCATTTCGGATTTCAATCACTTTTCTCTGAAGCTAAAGGAGAAGAAGGGGGTGTACCATGATGCTGTTACACCCGGTATAGTAGTCATGAATTGAATACACATTGGTTGCCTTCCAGCGTGAAAACGAGAAATTTCGACATTCCTTCCTATATATATATCATTGAAGAACGCGTTTTACTTACAGGCTTTTCAACATTTGGTGAATAAACACAGGGAGAGGAAGGCGTAAAGCGAAAAGCGACAATAAAATAAGTGAACCAAAGAAAAGTAAATATTGAACTTTCGCAGCATATTTACCCGAAACCGAGACCCTCCCTCCTCTAACGAAATGAATTATGAATGCAAATTTTCAGGAAAGTGAGCAGCTCCTATATTTTCCTTCTACTGAAGATGACAGCTAGTTACCGAAATACGACTTTTTGTACGGCTTGACTATTTCGGATTGATACAATACAATACAACACAATTTTATTTGATCCATAAAGCTGTGGAGCAGTCAGGTACAAACAAGGTTTACATGAAGTTTATAAATTATAGACAAACAAAATTTTATTTCAAACTATCAAAATATTAATTTACGTAACAAGTCCGGACGAGAAGACAAAATTTTAGGCCCACCTGTAGGCGAGTCCTGGAAGTCTGCGAGTCCAAAATAGTAATTTACGTAACAGGTCCTTAAAATATTGTTTTGTTGGACGAGTAAACAAAATTCTAGGCCGAGCCCGAGGCGAGTCCTGGAAGTCTGGGAGTTTTCCATTTCCATATTATATTTCTTTGTAGAATACAATTTCTTCTTCATCAATTCTCATTTGTATCAAATACTGAAATAGAATACCTATACCTCCTAACTGTTACATTGGAAATTCCGTATGGACATTTTCAAACTCACCATCGCAGCTACTTTCGATTGTTTATTGCGATAATTGCAACCAAACTTTCAGAAATCAAAATGTCAACTAATTTCATGTCAAATAGGTGTCAGCCGATATTTCGCTGCTATGGTAATCATCATCTGCACTCATGAATACCATATCTACCAAGATTCACATAGTTACAGTGACAATAACGATGTTATACTTTCCCGGCCTAGTTCGGAGAATCTCATAATTGTAGATGAACTACCCCATATGATTATTCCGTATGTTAATCTGATTTGGATTTCCCCGAATTAAAAGAGCAGGATTTCCTGTATGTCAATCATTGAGTTGAGAGATCTCAGTTGGTAACATTTGATACTAACTATATTGGCTAGAGTGTGGTTTTACAGTGAGTATTGAAGGATACATTCTGATCAAGTTTAATGCATAAAAGAGAAGCGAGCATACCTTGCCTATAATTTGATCCTGGACTTGGCTGGTTCATACAAAGTATGAAAATGTAGACAACCAATTGAACACTCTAGTTTCCACACCGATGATCCTACGGAGCTCTTTCATGCACTGAACTATTTCACAAAAAAATGGATTTCACTGGTGCGTTGACTCCAAAAATGACTTTGGAAAGACTATCCCAGGCAACCAGATGACGTTTCAGTGACATCTCTTTGCGTCAGTTGAATGACCAAGGTGCCGTCAGGAGTTGACGTCGTATGTCGTGATAAATGACGTGAATAAGTCACATCCCAATGACTTCATATTACTCATATTTATTGACGTCATTCACAAACCAAACTGTGACGTCAAGCTGACGTAGAAATGACGTCAAAATGACTTTGAAATTCAATGATGACACGTAAAAAAGTTTCCTCGAACATGGTGTGACAATCACCACTGACCTCTGATGGCATATAATATTGATTATGCATTGTTGAGTCTGCCTGGATGTCCCTCCGGTGACATGTTCATTCAGTGGTCTATTCATCAGCGCTATCCCTCAGTACGCATCTCCATCAGAATGGAATCAGTTACTCGTATTTGTATAAAAAATTATGTAGTTTGTGTCGGCGAGATGTAAGCGAATCAAAAATAGTTTGATAGCAATGAAAAGGATGTTGGCGAATTTAGCTTCACTTTGTTGAGTAACGTATATTCATGCATTTGTCACCCAACAAAAATGTGAATAGCAAATTATTGAAAAAATTTTGTACGTAATGACGTAGCTCACCAAATTGTTTCGTCACACCGACGTGATTTTTAGACGTCATAGATACGTCACCGCAACGTCATTGAAGTGACAGTTTCAATATTGGTACACCTTTATTATCATTTGTATATATACATATATAGCTTGTTTGTTTTCCAAGATATACAGGGTGTCAAAGTTTTAAAAAAGTTATCTCTTACTTTTTGGGTATATATAATTCCAATAAAACTTGCATGTTGATTTGTTTCAATAAGTTGTACTTCTATCGACGTTAGAAGCATATGTATAAGATCACCAAGACGTACACGTTTCTATATATGTGTGTAAAATTAATGAATGAGAAAACGATTCTTTCTGAGAACTTTTCGATACTGAAAATGCCCATTCTGTATATAGGTACGATACGAAACTAACAGTTTCACAATGTAAGTCTACATGGTTTAGATATGGTCTGAGAAACATGGACGTCGACAGGACGTCTCTGCAACGTCATGAAACCGACGTCTTATTCTTCACTTCTAAGTGACGTTCACTCGACGTCGAGATGATGACGTGATTCTCACGTCATAGAAAGTACGTCATAGTGACATCATAAATTGGTGTCTGACGTCTCTGAAGAAAAATCACCAATTAGGGAAGTCACAGTGACGTGATCATTCGACATATGGTTGCTTGGGATACTGCGATTTCTGACGATGCCTCCGACCTGAGCTCAATTTCTATGTATTATTCGCTTCACGGTGTTTCTGTATTCTGATAATTAAAAACTATTGAATGGCCTGTGTAGGTGCATCAATGATCAGGTTAGCATCAAGGAGAAACAAGCTCATAGTAGGCAATTAAGTCTATAGGTGTGTGTGTGTATATGCAAGCAACGTGAAGGAAGCTCCATCAACAAACAATAAACTCGATTATCCTTGCTTATTGCTCTTGCAAGGCAGGTGCAAATGTACGTGCACTGTAATCAAGCCATCCAGTCCGGGTTAGTTACCAAACTAACTCAGTTCTGGTGATGGACTGTGAATAATCCGATTAGAAGGATTTGCACAATCACTCAGTTGTGGATTCCGAAATTGATATGTCTGCAGACGAGTTATCTTCAGATGCACCCCACATCAGTCTGAGAGTAACAAAGGGGAAGTACACAAGAGTACACTCAGTAAATTTCCTTCTATAACTTTGAGAGTATCATTGCATTCAACCCTCGATTCAACCTTATAATGGAAGTAACAGATATCTACACCAAGAAAAAAGGTATCTCATGGGTATATCAATTTTTATTGCTGCAAATGGAAAGTTCATCTGTATATAGAACAACTGCACAAAGTACTCATAGTGAGGCAAATGAGGATTCTGGCACCTACACGGAAAAAAAGGAATGTTGAATCAAATGTTGAATCAAGCTTAATTCAATTGAATGAAGCAAATATAAGTGTCATATATGCCCGACAAAATATAATCTTGAAATGAGTAAATCTGAATCTTGTTTCAGAGCAAATTTGAAGTTTGAATCAAGTGAATATGTCTTGCATTAACTCTGGATCTTATTCAATCAAGCACATCCATGAATTGTTTATGAAGAGATATTGAGTTGGCTCAAACAATCATTTTGTTCGGTTCTAAATAACAAGATATTGATTCAATCAAATATTCAGTGGATTCAACGAAATATTCGGTTGATTCAAAGAAATATTTGGTTGATTCAATGAATTATTTGTTTGATTCAATGTAATATTCGGTTAATTCAATGAAATGTTCTGTTGACCCAAGAGAAACTGCATTTCCATTTGACAAATTGTTTTGTCGAACCAAATTCAGTATTGATTCGCGGATTTTCTGAAATGTCACATCAATCGAATAAACTGAACTAGGATACTAGTCGACTTCTGGCATACATCTTCAGTCTTTACTTCTCTTCAGCTGATGCGAAACTATCAGTCGTCATTCGCTACCCCAAGAAGCCAGCAGTTCCCTTCATTCAGCAGCCAACTACCTCGAAACACAGTCTCGGAAATCTTGAAGCCCAAAAGATTTCATCCCAATACCCAGGACAAGGATACATTCGAGCCCAAAAGGATCCTGCCAAAATCCGCATGACGATTGTAGGATGACATGCCCAATCGTCATTCCCTACCCCTGATCTGCCAGAAGTCCCACCAATAAAAGGCTGATTATAATGCTTTAGTTGAATAGTCAGTGCCAGACCAAGTCAAGGTGTTAGTGTGCATTGTAGACACTAAACTTCTGAGTGTGTGAACTCAATTTTCAAGTTTAATTGGTTTTTCTCATTTGAATATTTAAGGTATAGGTTCTCCTCGATATATTTAGGTAGGTAATAATTTGAAAACTGGGGCCCAGTTTTCTCGGTCATGTCACGAGTTCATACATACATACATACATACATATACATACACATATATATACATACGCGGTATATCCGTAATCAAATCATCCGTTGACATCATCCTCGCATGAGAAACGTGCAAGTTCAATAAAATGATGTATATGGATATTAAATGTTAGGGTTCCGAAGTTAGTCCCGTCTTGGGCTCCTCTTGACTTGACAAGAACTCGTCGTAATGGTTATTATAATGTAAGTTGTTATTAGGTCTTTATATTCATTGTTGTTCATTCATATTTGTCATTGCTACCCATAATGTTTCATGCTTCAATATATATATTGTTATCTTTGAATATATAATAGTCTCGTACTTTCAGTTACCCCTAAACTATTAGTGCATATTTGAACATTATCTCTCGCGAACTATTAAGCCAAACATCGCCCCTTATAAATCGATATGGATGGACTAACCAACAATTCTATCGTGACAGTATTTCCAGATTTGTTGATTGTTGTAGAGTAGCATGCTTCCAAGCCCCTCTGGAGTTAACAAACTTGTTTTGTTTCAGCGTCTCAGAATTCCCTATGCGTGAGCTCCAAGATAACCGAAGTGACCATCGAGAGAATAGATGGATCACTTGGTATCACGTTGAGAGGAGGTGTAGTCTCGGACTATCCGCACCTTTCCAGGCCACTGGTTATCACACAAGTCAGACAGAATGGCCCTGCGTACAGGTACAGTAACATATTCTACCTTGCTATTTTATACCAGGTGACACAGATTCATCGTATACCTCCCCTCCATTTTTCCATTGGCCACGTTTAAACCGTGTCTTGGTAAGCTGACTAATGACTATATTTTGACTAAATACTCTTGGTTAGTGTGGTATAAAATGAACTGTATACTTGGTAAAGTTACCAGCTTGGTTTTGGTACCGTTTGTTGCGTACCAGACTAAAATAGTATGATGACCAAGACAGTGTAAACATTTTGGTCAACTTTTGTATAGCCTTGACTTGACTTGAGTGCAAGTAGCAGTTATTTCATGAGTTCTCATAATAATATTTCATTCAAATTCGCAGGTAATTTTTTATCCTACTAATAGGTTTTATTCTTTATTCACGAATTCAAGTGGAGTTCCACAACCTAACTTCAAAGAAAAATAATTCAAAACAAATTTGTTAACGTTAGTCAACTGAAGATAAATAGTTTAAACATGCGTTAAATAAGGCATTTGGTCTGAATTTAGTTAGATCTCCTTGGTAAGCATACCAACTATCTATACTGTATAAACGTAGCTATTGTTCTTCTATCTATATTTGTGAAATTCAGAACATCAAATATGCTCACTAGATGGCACATTCTCACATTTTGGTATATTATTTTTATTTTTCGGTTTTTCTGGCAATAACATCAACTCTCGATTCGTGGAACATCGTGCGTAACTAGGGAGGATAGGGAAAAAAGGTAGGTATTGGACTTTTTTGAATTTCTTGAGGTTATAAGTCTCTGGAAATACTTCCATTGACAAAGAATTCCGGAACTTCGTCGTCCTATAGACGAACTAGTTTTGGTATAGTGTTGTTCAACATATTTCCAAGTTGACAACGAAAGGATGTGCTGACTGATCCTGCCGATTTTGTCTGACTGGTACTGCTAGTGATGGAATGATAGCAGAGATTTCTGAGGAACATTTTTCGTGGAAGTATCAATAGAAAAGTGAAGGGTCGCCGACTTTTTTACGGTATTCTAATGAGGACAAAAAACTAGATAGTGTTGCATCACCCACTAGGAAAATGGCTCTTCTAGATGGAATTTGAGAGCATCAGCGTATGTTTGGGTGCTGAACTCCATACATGAGCACAGTATTCTGAAACTGGCCATAGCTGTGCTTTGTAGATCATTAGAAGCTGTTAAGATGTAAAGTAGATTTTCGAGCGGAACTTGAATCCGAGTTTTTGTGAAGCAGCTTTTGCGATGGAACGGACATGATTTTCCCATGAGAGAGTATTGCTGAAGGTTATACCGAGCATATATATACAGTGTGTCCCGTTTCTCATGAATATACCCTAATATCTCGGTTACTAATAGTGCGATTCTTTTGAAATTATTTTAGTGATTGTATGTTAAAATGAGGAAGTATTTAGCAGAATGAACAGTATAAATTTTTGTACCCCTCAATATCGCATGCCAATGGTGAATGAAACTGTTCACTCTGCTAAATACTTCATTATTTCAACATACAATCACCACTAAAATTTCAAGAGAATAGCATCATTAATAACTTTTCAGTTATCAGAGTGTATACATGAAAAGCGGGACACACGGTCTTGGTGATAGCAGACATTGTTATATCAGGCATACTGAGTTTCGCCTTCCTAGAGAAAATACAGGCTTGATTTTTGTTGGTGTTGAATTCAACTAGGTTTTTGGTTCCCCAGGCTATAATTTCCGCAAGATCTTCATTGACAGCGTTTGCTTGCCTTCGCCGCAAGTTGTTAGTGTTAGAGTGTATGGAGAGTACTATCGTCTAAAAAGCTGTGGATAGGGCCAGTGGTTGCTCCCAATAGATCGTTGATTGAAGTAGGAACAATGTTGGTGCCAAGATTGATCCTTGTGGAACGCCGGAATCGATCGCAATGGTATCAGACCATAGATACTCCTTCCACCACCACATGGAGAGATCTGCCTGAAAGAAAACTCGATAGAAGATGGTGTAGCTGAGGTGGTAAGCCGTATGATGGTAATTTGTGGAGCAGTCCTTGGTCGAATGTCTTCGATATATCTAACGCCAAAGCTAGAGATTCCCCACGTTTTTTTAGTTTATCATAACGAATTCAACGATATCGGGTTGGATGAAGCCATTCTAAACGAATACGAAGATATTTGCGTTCGAATTTTTCATATGTTCAATGAGTGTGACGGCACAATATCGAAATTTTTTTTTCTCATTGAGCTTATGGAAATTTTAAACGCGAACATCTATCTCCATAGTCGTTTGGAATAACCCAATCAAACCCGGTATCGTTGAATTCGTTATAATAATCCCCAACCGATTATGGGATGGAATATAAAAATGGAGAAAAGAGAGGCATGCCATAGGAGTGAGTCTGTGTCACCCTGTATGAGAATGATTTTGCTAAGCAGTAGTCACTACTGTACACTGTATAGGGTATCCCATTCTAGGTGTCCTTCGGGATATCTTCCTTATTTTCAACGATAGAGATTTGCAGTTTTCGGAAACGTTGACTACTTCTTTGTGAAACTCTCGAAACTGTGAATGAAATTCTCAAAGTTCGTTACATTTTTGAGATGAAGGGTGGAATTGAAAACATTACCTCTTAGGACCCCTCATTATATATCTCAGAACTATTTGAACCCATAGAAAAGTAAGCCATGTATTCTATTAATTTTTCAACGTCCATTGGCGTAGTCAGTTTTTCAAATGAGCTGTCATTATTCAGATGTAACCCAAAGTTATGGTTCTTTTCAATATAGAAACACTGTATATTATTTCGAATCTGAAACATAAATAGTTTGCGCTTCTGCTAATTGTTGAAGAATATACTTCTTATTCTCGTGTCATTTGGCCTTTTGCTATGATATCTTCTTCTCAGTCAATGTGAGAATTGGTCGTAAAGTTCCACATTGGGATTGAAAAAACCTAAGACGGCTCACGTCTTTCGATAACCTGAAGTTTTCTATTTGTTCAAATGATATTTACATAATTTTTTCCGAATGTTTTTGATATAATAGGCCATAGCTTTTAGGGCTATTCGGCAAAATTTTGGGATTTTTAACTTTGACATTGACCTCATGTTTTAGTAGCTCCATCTGGTGACAATGAAAATGTTAGCCCTCATTGAGATTTCATCTTTGTTTTTTTGTGTTGTTCAAGGACTGGCCTGATCAGAGTAGGCGACCGACTCCTGAAAGTCGACCACCACTCCCTACTGAACAAGACCCTGCTGGAGGCGCAACAGATCCTGCGCGACAACACCCTGTCCAACACGCACGGGATCATCCTGACCACGCTTACCATCGAGTACGACGTAAGCATCATGGAGTCGGTCCGGTATGCCAACGGGCCTCTGCTCCTGGAGATCGACAGGCAGCTGGAGGAGGATTTCGGCTTGGTGCTCACGAATTGCAGCGACATCGAAACGGACGATATTCTGTCTGCTGGGTAAGTCAATCCTACACGATAAGATACATATTATATTGCGACGAATCAGGGTTCTCAAGAGGTTTGTGAAGCAAAACTGGTTGCAGTTCTTCTTGAGGTACCCACACCCCAACGCACACCAGCTTTCAATCACGATACCTTCATCCATAGTATGATCTTTCCTCCATCGTGGGTATAATACAGCAAGGGGAAGTTTTATAGCGGCACTCACTACACTAGTCCGCACACTGATGAGAAATAATCATCGTCTGCTGTCTATGAAATTATTCCGAACCAGGACAGGCCCTCTTATTCATAGATCTTGTCGTTGTGGGAATCCTGCACAGTATAAATACGTGCTTCATATCGAGAATATGAAGACTTGAACTCACCTAATAGAGTCGGTACGGTATGCCAATGGGCTTCTGCTCCTGGAGATCGACAGGCAGCTGGAGGAGAATTCCGGCTTGGTCCCACGAATTGCAGCATATAAAAAATATGAAGACTTGAACTGATCTGATAGAGTCAATCCTGTATGCCAATAGGCCTCTGCTCCTAGAGATCGACAGGCAGCTGGAGGAGGATTTCGGATTGGTGCTCACGAATTGCAGCGACATCGAAACGGATGATCTTCTGTCCGCTGGGTAAGTCAATCGATCACGATACAATACATATATTGCAACGTAGCAGGATACTCAATGGGTTTGTAAAAAACCGAATAGAGTCGGTCAAGTATGCCAACGAGCCTCTGCTTCTGGAGATCGACATGCAGCTGGAGGAGGATTTCGGCTTGGTGCTCACGAATTGCAGCGACATCGAAACGGACGATATTCTGTCTGCTGGGTAAGTCAATCGACCACGATAAGATACATATATTGCGACGAATCAGGGTTCTCAAGAGGTTTGTGAAGCAAGACTGGTTGCGGTTCTTCTTGAGGTACCCACACCCCAACGCACACCAGCTTTCAATCACGATACCTACATGCGTAGTATAAGCTTCCCTCCATCGTGGGTATAATACAGCAAGGGGAAGTTTAATAGCGGCACTCACTACACTAGTCCGCACACTGATGAGAAATAATCATCGTCTGCCGTCTATGAATTCATTCCGAACCAGGACAGGCCCTCTTATTCATAGATCTTGTCGTTGTGGGAATCCTGCACAGTATAAATACGTGCTTCATATCAAAAAATATGAAGACTTGAACTGATCTGATAGAGTCAACCCTGTATGCCAATAGGCATCTGCTCCTGGAGATCGATAGGCAGCTGGAGGAGGATTTCGGATTGGTGCTCACGAATTGCAGCGACATCGAAACGGATGATCTTCTGTCCGCTGGGTAAGTCAATCGATCACGATACAATACATATATTGCAACGTAGCAGGATACTCAGGGGGTTTGTGAAACAAGACCGGTTGAGGTTCTGTTCGATGTACCCACACCCAAACAAACACCAGCTTTCAATCACGATCCCTACATCTATGGTATTATACACGGCAAGGGGAAGTATTATAACGGCACTTACTGTACTAGTCCGCACATTAATAAATAATGGTCTGGACGGAATCCCGCACAGTATAAATACGTGCTTCATATAAAAAATATGAAGACTCAAACTCACCTAATAGAGTCGGTCAAGTATGTCAACGAGCCTCTGCTTCTGGAGATCGACATGCAGCTGGAGGAGGATTTCGGTCTGGTGCTCACGAATTGCAGCGACACCGAAACGGGCGATATTCTGTCCGCTGGGTAAGTCAATCGACTACAATACAATACAGATATTGCGATGCAGTAGGGTTCTCAAGGGGTTTGTAAAACAAGTCCGGTTGCGGTTCTGTTTGAGGTACCTCCACCCAAACGCACACAAGCTCTCAATAACGATACCTATACATTCTTGGTATAATACAGCAAAGGAAACTTTTATAGCGGCACTTACTACACTAGTCCGCATACTAATAAATGATCGTCTGGACGGAATCCTGCAAAGTATAAATACGTGCCCCATATGAAAAAGTATGAAGACTTGAACTCACCTAATAGAGTCGGTCGAGTATGCCAACGAGCCTCTGCTCCTGGGGATCGACATGCAGCTGGAGGAGGATTTCGGTCTGGTGCTCACGAACTGCAGCGACACCGAAACGGGCGATATTCTGTCCGCTGGGCAAGTCAATCGACTACAATACAATACATATTACAGTGTGTACATGAAGTGAGGAATAAGTTCATTATCTCGAAAATGAAAAGCTTTTCAGAAAACTCTTGGACACGTCAACTTTCGTTTCGAGATGCGAATCTTTTGGAGTCCTGGTTGGAATGGTGACGTCATTACTCTTCTGGAAATGTTATCATCAATTTTTTTTTTCAAATGGCAACCTATATTTCTGACAGTGCCATTTGAAAGAACATATTTTTCTCCACACAGCACATCAAAAGTTTTGTCATGTTACATAAGTGAATTTTTGATAACGTTAATGTTATCATGATTGTATAGTAATTTATTGTACACAATTGATTGCACAAACTAATTGATCAAATGTTCAAACTGAAGTTCTTCCTGAGCCTGGCAGTATCCAAGACGGTCAATGAATTCTTGTTAGACCTTCGGGATACTTCATGGAGTAATATTGTTAGGTACATTCATTTGTAATCAGAGTTTTCAATTCCTCGATATTATCTGGTCTAGTTTTGTACACGACATTCCTTAGATGGCCCCAAAGAAAGAATCTAGTGGAGTAAGGTCCGGAGATCTTGGGGGCAATTCAATAGCACCACGCCTACCTATCCATCTATTGGCAACGACTTGGTCATGATACAAGATACAGGGAAGTCAAAAATCTCAATTCTGAACCACCCAGTATTTGTTTTGATCAAATATCAATTGATAGTGGATAAAAAGTTGAGAAAGGGACATGTAAACCATTTTGACCAATTATGAATAGTTTCGACACAAAAAATTCTTGAACTTGCAAAATCTCGATTTTTCACACCCGATATCTCAGTAACTATTAATGCTAGACCCCAAGTATGATGGGTCGTTGAAATCTGGTCATCAGGGAGAACCCTAGAATGACATAATATATAGGGTGTTCAATTAAAAAAAGTATAACTTCAGTGTTTCGCGGTTTTTGGGGACACCCTGTATGTTTTGAAATAATTTCGAATGGTAGCCTATGTTGACATGCAACTTCCTAGAGAAGAAGAATTCCAAGAAGATAAGTGGTTATATCTGGTGATATATACAGAGCGTCCACGCGAATATACAGTTGGTCTCGAAAACTGAATGATGAATAAATGTGGTCTTGATGTTTCAAGGCCAAGACAAGACTGGCTTATTCAATTCAAATATCCAACAGTTTATATGCATATAATAGGTATTTCGTATTTCTCAGTCTTTAGAATTGTCAATTTGTGCGTTAAAGTAAGCGAAATAAATTTCCCCTTCCACCAAGAGAATATCATTTTCAAGAAACCTTAAATAAACATTCAATGAGACTCAAACAGCAAACAGGCCGACGCCCGACAGGCCAGAAAATTGGTTCAAAAGAGTCGGAACGGACAACAACGCATTATCAAAATACAAAATTCAAACCAAATAACTCTTGTATTAAATTTGTTTCTATCTTCAATATGAGGAGATATGGACCACTGTGACCTTACAACATATACCTTTTTGATGTAAACTTATAAACTGCAATACTGAGTTTGAAAAATGCATTTCGGATTTTGAGTGAACAAAAATTAAAAACCTACCATACGACAAATGAATAACTGGAATAAAATGCCCTTACATTTTCCCGAGTTCCATCAGATTTTTCCTAATATTGAGTAGATTCAAGTTCATTATTTTTCTTTCGAGCCAAGACCAAGACTCTTGGGAAAGAGTCTTGGTCTCGAAAGTCAAGTCTTGATCTTGTTCTTGGGAAGATTTATTAAGTCTTGGTTTTTGTGTTGGTCCTGGTCTTGGTCTTGTACCTAGACCAAGACGAGAAAGACCATGACTGGACTCTTGGTCTCGCGAAGCCCCATGCAAATTTCAGATTCAGATTCAGCACCCCCAAAAACATATAAGGGAAACCGACTACTTGACTTTTTTCCACGTGCAAATAACATTTTATTGAACTATGAAACAAACATCCAGAGACTGAAAAGGAATTTGAAATGAGTTGAGGCAGTCAAAAATTATGAAAACAAATTTCGATTACACGTTTCGAATGTTGGGAGAAGGAATCCGATGTATATTGTACGACATCCACCGTTTGTAGGGAATACGCATGAATTCCTTCTTTTTATGTCATGAGTAGAAATCTTTTGATATGAAATTGTTCGCGTTTATATAGACATTCGTATATGATTTCTTTCCTTTGACCCTCCACTCGACATCCACTAGCAAACTGGAAATTACACAACTAGTTCCTTTGATGCTGAAGTTGCAAGAGATCGCATATCTGTGTGCACTGAGTTTTCAGCATTATCAAGTATTTGAGAGCTGAATATCCAACGGAAATGTCGTCAAACTGGGGATATACACGGTATTTTTTGTTGAAAAATATATTTGAACCAGAGGAAACTTTCGTTTCAGGATTATTTTCAATGCCTCCAAGGTTGGCACTTTTGTCCGTGAACAATATCAGAACAGAGTTCTGAGAGATAAATATTTCCTGCAAATAATGATGAAAGAATATGATATTTCATGCATGTAACTCGTATGATATTCCCTTTTACAGTGTGTCAATAATATGTCGCATGAATTCATTATCAGCTAAAAACTATATCGTAAATTACGGTACACAGGTCGCTTATTGATTTTTCGTAATCCCATACTGTTATTTTGATTTGACGGTATTCAGATGACAATGGGAAATTTAATTTTATCAACCTATGTCCGTTAAGATTGTTTTACGGCCGATGGTCGTAAACAATTCCATAACAACACGGTGTTGGGATCTTTTTGTAGAATCACGAGGTGCGTGGGTTGTTCTTTTCTCGGAATCAAAATATGATCTCTCAGCGTGATTACGAAAAGTCTTGAATGACACACGGCCGATACGGATAACGGATTCGGTTGTTATAATCCTCCGCTGTGCCTCGAATTACAATATCGGCCTTGTAACGTATATAACTATTATTTCACTGTTTTTTCATACGAAGTGAACTAACTTTGTGTAATGACGTCAACACCAGTTTTTATTAATGAAACATCCAAATTTTTTTCTATCATCTATCATCATCTAGAAAAAGTTGGAATTGAGTTGATGAAAATATGTTCAATGGAAATATTTGATTCATCAAAGAGCAATCATATTCGTCTGATTTTTCGTCAGCTAAACATTATCTCAAGCCTCTGCTGGATCAAATTGAAAAATTAATGTTGGTGCATGAATTATTTTTTTCTGTGACGGAAAAAGTATTTGAAAAGTGACTACTTTTTCCCAATTATACAGAGAAGTGCATAAAAAACGGCCAGGACTCTAACTTTTGAATTATTCGAGATGGGGTTTTGGAAATTGGTGGGTAGCAAGTTTACCAAGTTGCTCATTAATTGATGAAACAATTTTTCTTCTACCACTTTCAGTTTCCCCAGAAACGACCCCAACTTTCGATTTTCAAATGGGACACCCTGTATTGTATTCCATAATCGGTTAGGGATTATCATGACGAATTCAACAATACTGGGTTTGATAGGGTTATTTCGAACGATTATAAAGATATTTGCGTTCAAAGTTTCCATATGCTCAATGGATGTGACTTCGCAATATCAGAACTTCTTTCTCTGTCACACTCATTGAGCATATGGAAACTTAGAACGCGAATATATGCGTAATCGTTCAAAATAACCATATCGAACCCGGTATCGATGAATTCGTAATGACAATCCCTAACTGATTATGGAATTAAATACAGGATATACCATTTGAAAATCAAAAGTTGGGGTCGTTTCCAGTAAAACCGGCAGTGATAAAACAAAAATTGATTAGTCAATTGATGAGCAGTTTGGTATACTAGCTACCCACCAATTTTCAAAACCCTATCTCGAATAATTCGAAAGTTAGAGTCCTAGCCGTTTTTGTGCACTTCTCTGTATGTATATATATACATATATCAAACCTCAAGGATTCCGAGGAAATCCAAGGAGTTCCAAGGAATTCCAAGGAAATTCTAAGACTTCCAAGGAATTCCAAGGAAATCCAAGGAATATCATAGAAATTCAAGGAATTCCAAGGAAACCCAAGGAATTTCAAGGAATCCCAGTTGTTTGTACACCAGAATTATACCGCATTTCACCCAAAGAATTCCAAGGAAATCCAAAGAATTCCAAGGAAATCCAAGGAAACCCAAGGAATTCCAGGGAATTCTTAGGAAATCCAAGGAAATCCAAAAAATTACAGTTGTTTGTAGACCAGGAATATACCGCACTCTACCCAAGGAATTCCAGGAAATTTCAAGAAAATTCAAGGAATTTCAAAGAAATTCAAGGAATTCCAACGAACTACAAGGAATTTCCAGGAAATCCAGGGAATTAAAAAAAACAGTTTATTGTACTCTAGAATTCCACCGCGTTTCACCCCTTGAAAAATGGACACTAATTACTCGAAAAACTCAAGATATCATGTTACATTGATGAACAAAAATATTTCAAATCTATTGAGATTGGAAAAAACATACGAAAATGGTTGTTCTAAATCATGAAGGGGATTTCATCGAAAAGATATGGGACTCTAGATTTTTCGTTCCTTTGCATTTTCTGAGAACATTTATCACAGTGATGTATAAATTCCTTTACACCATCAGAAAGTAGAAATTTCAACGAACAAAAAGCACATCAACTTTTTTGAAAAAGCAGATATTTTGACACAAGAATTTTCGATTGAAAATTAGGGTGCTTTTTCGAAATTAGGTGAAAAAATGGATATTTGGAATTGAAAAATTACAGTGTGTTTGGGACGTAAAGAGTTCAGTTTTCACCAAATATGGTGAAAATAAAATCCTTCTTGTCAAAGATAAAAGTCCATATACTTGGTTTTAAAATTATTCACATAAATTTTGAGGTTAGCTGAACAACATTTTGTCTCCTATTATTACCTACAACTTCGCTATTCAACTTTTTTTTCTACAGGGTTTGCTGTTTTGCCGGAAATCGAGATAAACCGTATTTTACCCTTGAGAAAACCCACCCCCACCACTTCCCGACCTCAGATTGCCCTTAACTTATTTTTCCTCTCATCTTTGTTATATTCTCCGTCTTTTCCAATGAGTTTCATCCTTCTGTAATTTTGATTTACCCTTCTACCTTTCAAAGGCTTCGGCACTGGTCTATTATTGGGCATTCATCGACTGAAGTATGAACCGTTCAGAAAATCAAATGATTTCAGGTTCTACGTGGAAACAATAATACCGGCCAGCACTGCAGACAGATGCGGAGCCCTCTCTGTAGGCGATCAACTCTTGGCCATCGACGATCTCATGCTGGACAACTGGACGGGAAATCCCCAGGATGCCGAAAAGCTGCTCATGAGGGCGACCAAATTGCAAATATTGCCGACCCATATCATCCGTAGATCCACGTCGAGAAACAATTACGGTAAGGGTATTGACAATTCACAAATCTCTTCGCACTATGTATTTTATCGCACCGCACATCGCACTGTACATCGCACATCATAATTCACACATTACAATTCGCACATCACTGTTTGCACGTCACAGCTCGCACATCACAATTTGCATATCGCCTGGCTCATAGCTTCGTACAGATGATTCGTCCCACGCTGATTGTGAGGCGATCGAGATACTCCGCACTACACTTCGCACCGTACCGTTACCACCGATACAACAAGGCCTGCATGCTCCGTGGGTGACGTCACTTAGTGAGGCCTAACCAGCGGCTCGAAACGACAAGCGCTTATAGCGCTATAAGGCGACCGCGTATTTCGATTTTAGGTTTAGATCATCATTGAGCCGATTTTGCTGTTTTTTGAAGGGCTTCCGGTTAAAAAAGGATGCCAGTCGTCAACTGAGCCCTTCTTCGCACCCCATTCGATTTTATTATGGAAAACCGAAGTTTTAAAGCAAAAACCAGGATAAAACACAAATATCCACCTACAGCAACCCATTCGAATTAAATATATTGGCAAAAATTGTGATGAAGGTAAACTTCACACCTACTTATACAGGGCCCGCAGAACATAAACTTATCGGTGAGATTGATCGAAAGAAAATTGTGGAAAATGTATTTTATTTTGATTGACATGCCGTTTGTTACAATTACCTATATTTATCTTGGGGAATTCCTATTACCTGAAAAAATAACCAGTGAGTGTTTTCAATTTTCTGTTGTTGGATTTTTCACCCAAGTGGATCGTTACACTTGAAACCGTAATTTTTAAGGGTAAAACTGCATTTATCATGCGTTGGTTTTTTTTTGGAAATTTTTGTCGGTACTCACGTATTTTTGTCTGATAAACCGAATTTTATAATGAAAATGTGAACAAACCACTATTTATTGAGATATTTCAAGAAAAAGTTCGAAATTTCGCCTTCTTTCTCCCCTTGTGTTGGGGGCATTTGAAGCTACTTGCTCTTATTTAGTCATTGGATACTTTATATACTCATGATGTACTTCGATGGCACATTTTTATATAGAAAATTCAACAGGAAATATGATTTTTATGGCGAGTTTTTCATATTTAGTGAACAAGCATTCCAGATGACGACCATTTAATCAATTAATAGTCAATCAAAATACGAGATGTCAAATGTCAATAGATTGCTTTCGAATGACATTACACACGCCATTATTTTGAATGATATTCTTCCTTCTTTTCACTAAATATGGATTAATCTCAAGAAAATCATATTTATAGTTGAATTATATATAAATTGTCCAATATGATGGAAAAAGAAGGGAAATTTGTTCTAAATGCCATCCAGAAGACAGGTGAAAAAGAAGGTGAAATTTGGAACTTTTAAGTCAAATATCTTCATGATAAATATCATGATAAATGCAGTTTTACCTTTTTAAGTAGAGTGTTTGTAGTTCATGTTAATATGATAGTTGCAATTTGATCATTGGAATGAATTCTGCATTCATTTCCACGAGGCAAATTACCGTATTCAGAAAGAAATTTGAGAATGAGAATTAAAAATGCCCGTTCATTATGAACATTCAAGAAAATTTCCTCGGATTCAGAGATGATTTTGTTGACTATAATATACGAATACAAAACTAACTGCACAATCAAAGCTTTTCTATTTTTCCTCCACTTATACTTTTTATGAGAGAGTAATTGTCTTCTATTATCAATTCATCATTATAAATTAAGCTCTGTTTACTACTGAACTTAGATGGAGTAGAATCCTCGCGGTGAATTGCATATACCCACATTTTCGATAGCTCCTCGTCCAACGGGAAACTAAAAGCATGAACTTTTGAACCACCCACATAATTCCCTCGACAAAAGGGAACACAACACTTGAAAGGCATTGTTATTTCGCCGATCACAACACGAAATATTTCACAAAACAGTATTTTTTCCGCCAATTATTTTGATAAATAAACAACAAAAGAATTCGGGACCGTTTCAAAAACATACGTGAATCACCGATGAATTAACACGAACTGACGCGTTAGTCGACAAGCGATAAAATAAAACACTGGCCTCTCTTGGTGACGTCACGAGCTGTTTACGTCAGAGTCTGCTGGCCTTGTTGTATCGGTGGTAACGACCGTACACCGTATATCACGCTGAGGCTGAGTTTGAGGCACAGTACTGTGTAATTCATCGTGGTGTCCGTCCATCCAAGGTGGTAGCTTTTATTTTATACAATGTCTTTCAGAAAATTCAGAAAATCATATGAGAAAAACTTCCAATAATAGCAGTAGTAGTATATTATGTACTTTGTTATTATGTATGTACAGGGTATCCCCATTTGGACACTTTTGCGGAGTATCTCCCTTGTCAGTAAGGATAGAACATTGCGGTTTTCGCGACAGTGTGCTACTTTTTTATGAAATTAATAATGGCGCAAGCAGAATTGTGATAGCTCTTCCGGTTGTCGAGATACAGGGTGGAATTGAAAAATATCACTTTTCAGGCACACCCCGTGTCTCAGTTATCTTCGAACTGATCGAAACTTGTTCTTGTAGAATTTTCCTCGTAGAATCCAGTGGCTTTGTTAGCACCTTTTGTTTTTCAGTAATGTAGCAAACATATGTTTTTTTAAATGGAACACCCTGTATATTATTTCATATATTCATTGAGCATGAAGTGCGCATCCCAAAAATATATAATTGTATACAATTATTTTCAAAAACAAGCTCAGAATTTCAGATGTACAAAAAAAAAATGTATGCAGATGTAGATGGATATGGCTAAACTTTATTGAAAACAAAATTTATGTTAGTGATTATTATACTTCTTATACTATCAAACTCAATTCAAATAATATTTTTTGATTTCTCATTCCTTAATTATTTATTATTTATGAAGTGCCTTGTTTACAAAATCGATGGGGTATATCCTGAGCAGGGTAGATAACTCTATATCATTGAATCGATTTTCACTTCTCTCACTGGAAGACCGAAGAAATTATTACTCGTGCGTATTCATTTGTAATCTTGTCGACTGCCCAGATCTTCTGTCTCAGCTCAATTTTCTTGTACCTCGTATGAGCAACAGAAACGAATTATGTTTTTATCTTAGAACACCAAAAACAAATACTCTGGCAAAATCTTCTGTTTATACAATGTGTAGCAATTTCAATAATGTCTGTTTTAAAAATTACCTGAGGAATATACCCATCAGTAATCAAACATAAAAGTTTTGTGTAAAATGTACCAAAATGAATGTATGAATATATATGAAATGTATTTGTCTTGCATGTCCTGTAATTGGGTGCCTCGCCTGTTTGGGCAATAAACTTTTTTTTTATAATGTTTGTCCAAACGAATATTCATATATATATACTATACCTATAGTTTTCAAAGTCTAATTTGAACAGGCAACTAGAATTTTGTGAATTTTCAACCACATTTCGAAAAAATAAGAAGAAGACATTGTATGTCTGACTTCTGACAAAATCGCGCCGGCTCAACTCAAACTTTTACTTGTTTTTTGTTATTGACGAAAGAGATAAAAGTTGGTCATCTTTCAGAAAGATAAAAATTCATTTGGGTGCATTATAATGATTGAACGGAAAACCAACTTTCAAGTCATTAGTGAAATCGTTAATGATTGTGGAACTACAGACAGACTGAAAGTTGAATTTCGATTCTACAGATTATTAAAAAAGCGGCATGCATACATATTTTCAAATTAATCCGGCTTTAATGTTAAAATTAGCATTGAGCGTTGAATGTTGATAAAAAAAGGATGCTTTACATATCAGAAGATTAGTATATTGTTTACCGAGCACGGAATAATAGTGATTTCCTACGAGCCAATGGCTCATGCTGCAATCATTCGAGTTATACACTATAATTTTTATACGGCTATAATAGATAGCAGCGGCATTTTCGATTTCTTCATCTTGTAGCCATCTGATTTCCTGTCAACTAATGCTCATCTATAAGACAGAGCTGTCGATGACATTCTTCTAAAATAATAACACAATGGAGTCATTGTGATATCAGATACGGAAATAAAATTGATGACAAGCAAAGTACTTCATTGATATATCAAACACAGTAATTTTTTTCATGTTCTGGGTTCCCACGAAAAGGGATATCCTGTAATGTTCAGACAACATCGTGAGATCCAAGGAAAATGAGGTAGGAATTGGTGATCTTCTTGAATTTCTGGAGGTTATATGCCTCGGGAAACACCTCCCTTGGCAATGTGTTCCAGAGCCTCGCTGTTCGTTGGATGAACGAGTTTTTGGAAAGAGATGTTCTGCAGGTCTCCAAAGTGATCACGAATGGGTGGTTAATCAACTCGACGGGTTAATCTCGCGGGGACTGCCAACGGAGGAACAATTGTTGATATTTCAGAAGAGCATCGTCCATGAAAATATCTATGAAATAGAGCCTGATCGCCAACTTTTCTACGGTGTTCCAGAGAAGTGAGTGAGTTTGTGAGGGAGGCATCACCCACGAGACGAATTGCCCTTTTTGGACAGAATCCAATAGTTTCAGGGTATGTTTGGGTGCTGCACTCCAGATATGGGAACAGTATTCCAGGACAGGTCGTATCTGTGCCTTATAGATCATAAGCAGCTGACTGGAAGTGAAATAGCTCTTGGCCCGAAACAGAAAACCAAGCTTTTGGGGTGCACTTTCAGCAATCGATCTCACGTGATGAGCAATCTTGTGTTATAGCCGTAGAAAAACTATATTTTTCAAATTAATCGTTGAAAATGGGCTTGTTTGTTTGAAAGCAATACTTAAGGCTCAAGTCGAAGCAATGAAAATGTGAAATTGATGCCGTATAACAAATTACTTTCCCTCGGGAGAAAAAAATATTACCTTCCATGAAAGGTAAAATAAATTGGCTCAAGCATGCACCTCTGGCGTCGATTCGTGCAGTTCGCGTATTCACTATCTTTCCCATTATAAAATGAATTACAATTTTTCTCTTTGAATCC